GCTATCATCAGAGTCACCTGGGGGAACTGTGAAACAACATCCCAGATGGAACTAATCTGAATGGTTTACAAAGCTCCCCAGGCAATTCTGAAGCATAGCCAGATTTGCAAGATACTGCTCTAAATCCTTGCTACAGCGAAGTGATCAGCACCCTCCTGGGAACCTGTTAGAAATGCAGAATGGCAGGTCCTTTGAAGGAGATTTCCACAGGTGATTATCAAGCTTGTTAAAGTTTAAGAAGCACTGATCTAAAGTGTTGTCTTACCATTCCTTTCACAAATATTGACCAGATTTTCTCTGTATCAGGTTGGAGGTTGGAAGGGTCAAGGGCCAAGGTCTCTGACTTTGAGATGATCACGGGACCATCAGTCAATTTCCCTGCTTAAAACTAGTTATTGACTCCTATGCCTTCAAAGTCCAGACTCCTGCACTTGGCCTCCAGGGCCTGCCAGGACAACAGTCCCTTCTTGTTACCAGCTTCCATGTCCACCATTCACCACAGGAACCAAACTAGACCCCTGGCCACTTCCCAAGGCCAGTCCAAGCTTGCCTGCCTATACAACTTTCAGTCAGGCCATGCTCTGCCCGCCTCTGCCTGGAGAAACCCAGGAGCAATCCTTTGAGTTCTAGCAAACACATCCGCCTTCTTGAAACCGTCCCAGATTTCCCCTGTTCAGACGAAACCCAGGAGTTCCCCACAGCTGTTTCTACCTCTTTCATGTCATTTATCTCATGTCATTTAGTCTTAAAATCATAGCACATCTGCCTTAACTACTCCATTTGAGAAAAGACCATGATACTCAACTTGTCTCCCAAATAACAATAAATAACTGGCATATCATTATATCTCAAAGTAGTACTACTAATAACTAAAATATAGTAAAGAAAATCATGGGTGAATGCAGTAAGTGAAAAATTTGCCAGTCTCCCTCATCATCCACTTCAAATTCATTTAAATATGAATTTAAGCAGAATCATTAAATATGAATTTAAGCAGCGGGCTCTCTCTTAAACCTGAGAGAAATAATTTCTAAATGGGATAGCATTCAGTGTTTCCCATATGCCAGTGGAACCTGCTGGAGATGAATTATGAATATGGCAACTACTTTTCCATAGTTGAGCTTCTAACTTTACAAAATACACTATAAAATTTGGAGACGCTTTGGATTTGTATTATAATCAATTACAGAAGGGTGGAGGAAGGAGAGAGATGAAGACAGAAAGCAAGCCAAAACACAGAAAGGGAGATGAATCTACACCAAATAGTTGCTCTAAAATTAAAAATAAAATGGGATTTTTTTAAGAGGATTAAACACTGGCTAGAATGCCTGCTTCATTCCTACCCAAACTTTGGAAGTTCTGGTATTTGAGTATATAATCATCTCAGGAAACACCGTGGGTGTGCAGTCGGGATGTCCTGAAAGAATTTTTTAAACAGGGCCATGGCATTTTGTAGTCCCTTGGACCCCGTGGCTGGAGCTTTTGAAAAGCTTGCTACAGTTTTGCGATTACAGTATAGAATTGGCTTCAGACGACGCACTGCAACTGACCCACGCGCTGTGAAAGAGATTTGCCTGGGCTAACAGTCCTACGACACCATGGGCTCCCCAGTTTTCACCACCGCTCCCAGGCCGTGCAGGGTTGGGACAAGCCGCACCGAACTCTGAGGCACCAACCACCGTATGCATCTCCCTGGCCATCCTGGCACCTGTGGGAGCACGGTCCACCTGCGGATCCCGCGCAGCGTGGGGTAGGAGTCCCCGCAGATACACGGGAGTTACACCCTCCTCCCATTCTTCTCGCCAGAGAAGGGGAGGAAGGTCCCCGACCTCGCGCCTGGGACACACTTCGGGGCCCCAAGAGGCCCTGCTCCTCGCGTCCCGTATGGCTCTTGGGTTTGGGGGCTCCCGGTTCCCCCAAGTAACGCCCCTGTCCCTACCGTGCGGCGAGCCGGGGCCGTGAGGGGAGCCCACTGACCTGAGCGCGGGGCTGCGGCTCTTCTCCGGGTGCCTCAGGTGTGTGGGCCGCTCGCGTGTTCCCCCCCACCTTGGAACATGAGCGCGGAGAACCGAGCCGCAGGCCACTGGCCCCTTGACCAACTGCCGGACCAACCAGCGGACCGACCGGCAGCGGCCGGGCCGGCGCCCACGTGACGGAGGCGGGCGCCCGCGGGAGGCTCGTCCCGGAGCGCCGCTCCCCCGCCCTAGGACCCTCCCTTGGGACCGCCCCGGGTCACGCCCCCTGCCTCTCGGGCTTCCCAGGGTCCCGCCGGAGCCGGTGCGCCACCGTTCCCGTTCCTCCGGCCCCGTCCCATCAGCCCCGCCCCTTCCAACCTGGCCGCGCTGCGAGTCTGGACCCAAGCCCCGCCTCCCTCGGAAACCACGCCCGCCTCGTAGCCCCGCCCCCTCGCGGCCGCTTCTCCGCCCGCTCCCTTTTCGCTGCAGGGAGGCCCGGGGCGGTTCTCAGCGCTGGAGCTCCTAATCTGCTGGGCTCCTCCAGCCCTTCGGCACTGCCCCCGGCGCGGACTAAGGGCAGGAAAGCGAGGAAGCAGAAGGGAACTTGTGTCGAGGATTGTGGAGAAAGAAGCATCCGAAACTCGTGTTAGAGGCACCCCCGGAGCAGGAATCCTTCCGGGCTGCGGGACTTCCCGGGCCCCGGTGCAATCCCTTCGAAATCGAAGTTGGCCTGAGGGCAGCCCCATTCCTAGTCTCTGAGGCCCTCCCCCGCCCGAGGTCAGAAGTTACCCTAGGTCCTGCCGCGCCAGAACCCCGCGACCTGGAGCTGGAGGTCCCTCTAGCGGTTGGCGCCGTCGGGTGAACACAGGAGACCACTACCATCACCTCTCTGTGCTCTGCGCCAAATAAGGTATGGGCAGGCCTGAGAACGGAGCTGTAGGTGTCACCACCGGAATGGATTCTGGAATCTGGGAAGACTGCGCCCTGGAGCCCTAGTCCAGCACCTACCCCCAGTGCCTGACCTGAATCCGCTTTGGTTGCCCTGCTAGGTGGGTGCCCTGCCCGGGCCTCCCCGGACCAGCTGCTGAGTAGGGCTGATTAAAATCCCTGTGGGCCTCAGGTGGCAGCGACACCAGGGACTCTGGCACAGTCCCCAGCTCTGGCAGAGTCACCACAGCGCTAGCCTCCAGTTCTCTACGGGCTGGAGTGTTGACAAACCAAACTTAGCTTCGTGGTCTGAAATTGCCGGTGCCCGGAAGACTTTTCTGTGTGAACACAACATAAGCCACCCTGGCAAATGGCAGACACGTGGCCGCTGCAGGAACCCGGCCAGCAGTGGACGAAGGGCAGAGCCAGCAGAGGAAGGCTGGGGCCCACAAGAGTCGTGTTACAACAGGACACCCTTCAGCCCTCTTTTACTTCCTTAAAATAGCAGCCCAGAGGCTCTTGTCCACCAGCCCGCCACAGTTCACACAAGTTCATGGCTGTTTCCAAATCCTACATGTATTGCCCCAGCCCTCAGAGCACTAACCTTTCTTAAAACTATACAGTTACTTTCTGAGTTATTGTAAGTCACAGGCTCTCAAGCTTATTTGTGCTTTAGAACCACCTTAGGGGGGAGGCTTAAAAAAAACAGTAACACTGGGTCCCATTGCCAGAAGTCCTGATTTAATGACCTAGGGGTACTGCCTGCCTGAGCATTAAGACTGGCAAAAGCTCCTAAGTGATTCTTATTTTGCAGCCAATTTTAAGAACCACTGGTGTAGGCTGCAAATGTGTTAATCCTCACTGAAATGCAACAAGAGACCTCAGAGCTGAAAAGTTCACCTGAAAGGGACCCCAGAAAGTGTCCCCAGGCCTAGGTGGCTGCCCTACCCTGGCTCTCCAGAAGCAAGTGCACATTTGCAGGGGCTTCCTGGAAGAAATGTCTTAACCTAAAAGAGTGATTCTAGCTGCAGGGATGTAAGGGACCAGGGTGAGTTGTTAGGGGCAGGTGTGCTCTGCAGAACTGTCAAATCAAAGCCTGTCACTGGAACCAGCATTGTGACACAGCAGGTTAAGCCACCGTCAACAATGCTGGCAACCCCGTATGGACTCCACTTCTGATCCAGCTCCCTGCTAATGCCCCTGGGAAAGCAGCGGAAGATGGCCCAAGTGCTTGAGCCCCTGCACCCACGTGGGAGAGCCAGATGAAGCTCCTGGCTCTTGACTTCAGCCTGGCCCAGCCCAGGCCATTGAGGTCATTTGGAGAGTGAACCAGGGAATGGAAGATTCTCTCTCTCTCTCTCTCTCTCTGACACTGCCTTGCAGACGGAAGCCAGGCAGTACATTTCAGGCATTCTCTCCTCTGTGCCTCCAAAGAAAGGACTCACTCCTGTTGATAACTCCACTCTACCTCCCTCAGTGAGACAGGCCACATCCCCTAGAGCTGTATAGTTGGTAATGTTGTTTTATCCATGGGTAGGTAATGTCACTGAACCCGTGGAGTGGGTAACATCACAGTTATTTATTCAACTGTGCCTCGTTCCATAAAGGGTTTGGGCTTTCTGTGCCATTCTATTAGAACTGTGGGTAATTACCTGTATCCATAGGCTGAGTAATTCCATTCTCCCACCGATCTGACGAGACCAAAAAAAAAAAAAAGAAAAGAAAAAAATCTTTCTTCCCTGCTTATGTCTCCGCCTGGGCTTGGCAAAGAAGGGAAAACAGCTGCAAGCGCACAAAGCAAATCCTCTCACGTGATCAACCTGGAAAGACCGAGGCCTCAGCACATGACACAGGCTGGCACCACAGCCTGTGCTTGGGACCTGCGCTCAGCTGAAGCGGACACACACGTGGGAAACACTTTGCAGCAGCCCTCTGGGGAGGCACACTTCACGCCCGCCGTGACAGTCGCTTGCCTGCGGTCCGGCCCCCATGCAGACTCCAGGATATTTACCAAGGGCCTCAGTGCGTTGGGGATTGTTCACAGGAAACCCAACGGCAGCCAGCACTCCCTGAATGCTTTTATAGTGAGGGTATGTAGGCAAATATAACCTGATGAGGTTATTTGCTTAATGTCACTTTTATTGTATTTATTTAAAGCAAGAGAAGAGAAGCAGAGGACAGTAGACACGATGAGGCTAGAGGTGAAGTCCTCAGCCTCGGGCAAGTTTTCTGGGGGAAGTGGCTTTTCAAAGGCCTATAGGCAGGACAAGCGCAGACACGAAAGCTGACTAAAGGGACATACTGTTGTTTTTAGGCTGAACTGATGAACACATTGATTATAGAAGGCTGGATGAGCAAACATACATATTTGATGCTTCCTTGGGCAATCGAAGGACTATGCAGTGTGTAGTATTTTCTGGCTCGTTCCTTCATCTTACAATTGTATTACTTTGAATAACTCACCTAAATGCTCCTCATCTTTAAATGACAATTATAAAGATTTTTGTGCATATCTCACAAGCGTGAGATGAAAATTAAATGATGTGCAAACACTTTGTAACTGCAAAGTGGTATTCAAATGTTTATGTTTTCATCGCATTATCATATCCACCTAGCTTGGAGGAAGGGCAGGGCTAGGGAAAATAGAGATTAATCATCAATAAGAAATAGTACTTTAGTTGGGCAGTAAAAGTGGGAGCATATCAATAGACATTTGAGACCTAGAGAAGAGCTTGAGCAAAGGCCAGAGGAGAGAGATGCTAGTGGCATACAATCCCAAATGTGGCGTGGAGGAGAGCAAGGAAAGGCTGGAGGGAAACTGGATCAGAATGTGGAAAGCCTTAAAAGGCAAAAGGTTTGGATGAGTAATGGAAGCTGTTGAAAAACTCCAACTGATAGAATCTTATCTAAACTCTTAGAAGACACCAACGGCAGTGGCATCTGGGCAAGGACGCATATGTATTCCCACTTCCAGACCATATTCCTGTGGTGGTTAAGGGGATACTATATAATGAAGAGGCTGTGTTCTCAATGTCCTGGACAGCAGCTGCCAAACCAACCATGCTGTCCCACTGGCTGTGATGCATTACTCCAGAGACAGCTTTCTCTTTGTCTGGAGTTTGTAAATGATCTGGTTTCCTTCATTCCAGGCATAGAGCTGCTTATCTCTGGGGTTGTAATGGATCATGGAGTGACTTCTTGGCCGCCTAGGGAAGAACAATTTGGGCAGGTCTTCTTCGTTAATAGTGCCTAGTGGATCATAGACACAAGTGATGCGATGAGGGCCCTGGCCCCCCAAATTGTAGACCACATAGAGAACCCCACACAAGAGGAACGAGGCTTCGGCATCCTGGCTTCTGCATGGGGTATCCCAGGAGTGCTCTACTCCCAGTGTCCCAGGATCAATTTTTGTGAGAACCAAATGGCCCTGGGTGCCTGGCCCTGTGTGGATGGCCCAGAGCCCATGCTCATCCACAGCCAGGTCAATGTAGATGGAGGGAGAGTGCTGGTAGGCTGGTGCTCTGCCTGCCCCTCCTGGGAGCAGCATTCGATCTTCCACAGTCCTCTTCTGCAGATTATATTTGATGATCTCATTAGCAGTCCCTTGGTTATGAAAAAAAAGAAAACCTTTGTAGATCACTTGGCCTGATCCCTGCCAGGGAAGAGTTAGGATTAGCTTTCGGGGGGCTGGCTTGGTGCTGTCCTCCATGAATGCTCGCATGTTTGCAAATTCCCAAACCGTGTTGTTTCTGGATCCAATTAAGAAATACACCTTTGGAGAGTCACTGACAGTATCTTTCATCCAAGAGCCATCTGTGTTCATAGTCTTCTTTACTATTTTCAGAGACTTGATGCCCATCAGCATGTTGTCACAGCCTGGCCAGACAGGAGGGAAGGGAGAGATTACTTTAGCAACAAAAATGTCTGCTTTTTGGAAGGCTCACTATGCCTGGTACATTCTGTTTCCTTTCAGCTCTAATACTGATAGGGAACATTCTCAATTCTACTGTGAATTGATGGTCCTTAAGGAAGAGTTTATCTCAGAAAATTCTGGAGTGAAAATAGAACTTAAGTATGCATTTCATCTTTTTGAAATAAAGGGCAGTTAAATCCCAGCAATAAGCCAAATTATTCTTGCACTTCCTTATTCTTACAGATTGCTTTTCTTCCCTAGTGTCTAGAATAAATTTATTATACAAGGATAAATCATAGTTTGGGATATAATTCAATGAATCAAAGAATGAATGGGTCTCTGTTAAGAGAGTTGTAATGCAGTTCTACAAGTTAACACTTTATTCACTTCAGGTTATAAACAGCTGTTTGCTGTGACACAGACCCCATTCATTCTAGAGAGAATTTGGGATTGACGCAATAAGAATGACTTAGGTGTGAAGACACCTCATTCAATTCCATTCACCAAGATTCAATATGATTCTCTTCTGTGTGCTTAGCTTACAGTGTTCCTGGAACAGTGCTGAGTATTGAGGATAAAAAATACAGTATTGACCCTGAACCTTCAGGAGACAGTCTTCTAGCACAGGATTCTTGCGCTTAGCACTACACTATAACATTGAAGAGCTCTACTCATCCTTTCAAGATTGAATGCATTTAGTCAGCAGACATGGGATAAGAAAAGGGGGTGTCATGGGCAGGGGTGCAATGCTAAATTAGGCATGGCTCTTTCTTATTAGGTACATGACCAACTAGTATATAGTGCTTCAAATGGAACTTTGTAAGTGAGGCAGGGAAGAATCAACATTGGCATTAGCCCTGAAAGAACAAATGGAGTTGAATATTCCAGAGGACTGGCAAGAGCATCACAGATAGTTAACAAATCCATTTTCAGGAGACCTCTGCAGACTTAGGTAAAGTAGTCTAAAATGTAAACATATACAAGCTAAATACTTGATGTTGCCTGAAATAGATGCAAAGCAGAAACAAACAAAAACCACAAAGCAGTAGATGGAAGCCATCTCTATGCCTGGAATCTTAAAGGTGGGGCTAAAGAATTTGGATTTTATTCTAAAGGTAGTTAAGGAACTACTGAAATTTTTGAGCAGGAATGAAGGCCATCAAAGCTGTTCTACAAGTTTAATCTGGTAGTCCTGTGTATATAAGGGGATAAAGACCAAAAACAGGCAAACCAATTAGGAAGTTATGTATTTCTGCAATCCAAACAGGCTCATAAGGGTTTAAACAGGGTCAGCATAGTGGTAAAGCATTTAAAGTCACCACCTGCAATATTGGCATCCCAGCTGCTCCACTTCCATCCCAGCAGAAGATGGCCCAAATGTTTGGGCCCATGCCATCCACATGAGAGACCTAGATGAGGCTCCTGGCCCCTGACTTTAGCCTAGCCAGTGCTGGCTGCTCCAGCCATCTGGGGAGTGAACCAGAGGATGGAAGTCCACCCCACCCCCCCACTGTCTTTCCTTCTCTCACTCTGAACTCTGACTTTCAAATAAATAGATCTTAAAAAAGGGGAGGGGGTTTCTAAACTAGATAGAGGAAGTGAAAAGAAGAGGCTTACATTCTCACATTTTTCTAGCCCCTCATTGACTTCAGATGCTGACTTGAGACAATTTTCTTCCACCTTCAAGCAAAAACTCCTTCTTCGTTGTGCTTATGCTTTGTGACTCATTCTACCACCTCCTCCTAGACTCAGTTACTGGTTTTCTCCAAGATACCACCTTTTCAACTCCTTGGAGACTTACATTCAAAGGACTTCAGCAACCCCCTCCAAAGCCATGCTCTCAAGCCCCCATGCCCCAGCACTGTTCCATCTACAACTCCAATATTCTACCCTCTGCGACAGTATATTTTCCTTCCATATTTCATGCCTTTGTTCTCATCTCCTCTGCACTTCTACTTCCTCATGGCCTCCAGTCCTTGGCCTCGACTTTCTTCTAGGCCATCAGTCCTCTTTTGACTTTACTCCCTTTCCTATTTAGCCTAGGCCACTACAACAGCTCTTGCACCAGCACCATCATCCCCTCAACACCTAGTTAAATCGCAATATCCACCACAAAAAATCCCTTGGTTCTCAGTCAGTTCAAATATCCATCTGCCTCTGTCCTGGAGAGTTGAGGGTTGAAGAAATCCAACAATGGTGCATACTGGCGCCACTACACATAAGTAGCCTTCAACCTCTGTTGAATCCTCAATACCACACTTCTATCCATAGTGAATCCCCCATCTTTCATATAGTAGCTTACCCCAAACCCTGGCCAGTCCTTTCGTTAACAACAGACTAACTCTTTGAACAAGTAAATACCATTGGATATAAACTCCCTCCACTTTTGTTACAAACTTTTCTTCAGTTCTTCTCACCACTGCTGTCCTCCTACACATCTTAGAAAAAGCTACGCCACTTCTCTTGGCTCTTGGCCAAGACTAATAGATTTACCTTTGCTCTGATATTATTCTTTCCTGGCTTCTTTTTTTTTTTTTAAAGGATTAATTAATTAATTAATTTAAAAGGCAGAGTTACAGAGAGGGAGAGGCAGAGGCAGAGGCAGAGGCAGATAGAGAGTAGTCTTCCATCTGTTGGTTCACTCCTCAAATGGCCACAGCTACTGGAGATAGGTTAATCTGAAGCCAGGAGCCAGGACTTTCATCAGGGTCTCCCACTTGGGTGCAGGGGTCCAGGTATTTGGGCCATTTTTCCATTGCTTTCCCAAGTGCGTTAGCAGAGAGCAGGATCAGAAGTGGAGCAGCTGGGACTCAAACCAGCGCCTATATAGGATGCTGGCACCGCAGGTTGTGGCTTAACCAGCTGTACCACAACGCTGGTCCCTCCTGGCTTCTTCTAGAGTTCCTCAATAGCTTATCCTCTTCCTCTTTATTTCTCCTTCAGTAGTAGCTCCTTAACCTTAGCCTGCAAGTGTCTTGTCTATATTAAGGGAAAAATTCTCCTTCAATTGGCACTCTTATGCAGTTACTTCACTATTTTCATAATGTTATAGTCAGCTTCTCCTACATACAAGTCTATACTCTCTGTATCAACTTCCTCACTTCTCATTCTTTTACTTTACTATCATTCCATGGGAACTACTCTTCATTATGTTACCAGGGACACTAACTGAAAACTTAGATAAGCCTGATACATATGTCCATATCTTATCTGGCCTTTCTGCACCATGACAGTACTGATCAGTTCCATCTTGAAAATTTCTTCTCCCTTGGGGCCAGCACTGTGGCGCATCGGGTTAACGCCCTGGCCTGAAGTGCTGACATCCTATATGGGAACCGGTTCTAGTCCAGGCTGCTCCTCTTCCAACCCAGCTCTCTGCTATGGCCTGGGAAAGCAGTAAGAAGATAGCCCAAATCCTTGGGCCCCTGCACCCGTGTGGGAGACTCGGAAGAAGCTCCTGGCTCCTGGCTTCGGATAGGCACAGCTCTGCCTGTTGCAGCCATCTGGGGAGTGAACCATTGGATGGAAGACCTCTCTCTGCCTCTTCTCTCTGTGTAACTCTTTCAAATAAATAAATCTTTAAAAAAAAAGTCTTCTCCCTGACCTGTGTGTTGCCACTGTCTGTCTGGGTCTCTTTTTTTTCCTCCTCTAAGGTATACACAAAGCTCTGATCATCAAAAGCCACTTTTCCTATTCCTCTTCCTATTTACACATAAAACTACATTTCACAAGTCTCATTTGTAGTGAAGTTGCACTCATTGACCTGTGATCTGTCCAACAGGATGTGGACAAGCATGAGAGCCATTTCTCCTCATCCTTAGAACATTGGAATTCTCATGGTCACCAAATTCAAGAGGGATATGGGTCAAGATGACATCATCTCTCCTTATCATTTCAGAGAGGGTGTGTTTTGGGACTTCTTGTTGAGACTGCTCTGTTAGACCATCGGTTATGGAGTGACAAATGTCACGGGGTGGGGGGGGAGCACTGACCTTGCTATGAGCAAGAAGAACCCTGTGGGTCTCCTTCAGATCCCTCTGAGGTCTATATCACGCTTAGGAGAAGGTGGATATGCCAGCAGGTTGTCATTTTCTTCTTAATAAATGCTTAGGCTCTAAAGGCCATTTAGAGGCCAACTGGAATCTATTTGCCTGTTAACATATTTCTTATTTGAAGAGTCAAATCCTCCTCAGCAGAATGTAAACTCCACGAGAGCTTGAGCTTTGTCATATCTCTCATTCACTGCTGTCTGTCTTACTTCTTAAACTCCAATCTGGTGCAGAGTAGCTCAGTATTTGCTGAATGAATGAATGAATTTTCTAACCGCCAAATCCAGCAACCAACTGCATCTGTACCCATATTCTGTGCCTTCTTCTTGCTTCCTTTACTTTTGCAGTGTACCTCATCCCCTCTCACCTACTCAAAGACTAATTGTCTGAAATTATCTCCCCTCTCCTACCTCAACACGTTTCCTTTTCTACCTGGGTCGTATCCATCAGTAAACACGCAGGCACTAAGATCATTCGTCCTAGAAAAATGGCTATCGTGGTTGCATTTCTTTGTTTCACTTTACCATAAAACTCCTTGAAAGAAGTTTCCTCACCTCCATTTATCCCTGAACCATTCTGATCAGGCTTCTGCTCTCCACTGGTCTAAATTACCCTGTACACTTCACTGAGTCAGGTCCTGACAAGGTCACCAACAACCTCCCTGTTGCTAGATCCAAGTATCAATTCTCAATTTCAGCAGAATTTGATGATTTGGTCACTACTTCCCCTCGCCACTCTTTGTTCTTTTGCTTCTAGGACATCCCTCTAGTGTTTTCCTTCTATTGTTATGGATTTTTTGCTTTAGAATCCACTGCTGGTTTCTTTTCATTTTCTCCCTTTAAAGATTCTGCCCTTAGGTTTCTTAATTTCTCTAACTACAATCACTTTCTAAGACACCTCATTATAACTCATGG